TCAACAGGAGCATGGGAAGTTTAAGAAGATGAGACTGGCACCACCCTAAGGAATTCACGGTGTTGTGGCTGGCTGGCTTTGGAAATTAGGTTCAGTCTAGAGAGATTTCTGTATTGAGGTGAAGCTAATAAACACAACAGAACTGTACTGCACTGTCTCATGTTCTTTGGGCTGAACCTGACACTTTGCCAGTTACTTCCGATCACTGCAACCTACCCCACAGGCTTGCATTTTTGCAGGGGGGAGGGTTATTGTGAATGGGATATCAGTCTAACCAGTAAATAAATAAGTTTAGTTTCCTGAAGCTAAATGCCAATGGTCTTTGACAAAAAATGTTGAGAATACATTTCACTGCTCCCTGAAAATAAGGGAAAATAAGAACTTTGCATTTGGAACTATTGCTGTTGGCTACAGATGTAGCAAATATGATTCTCTTCTCCTTGTAGCTGCCTCCCTTATTATTGGAACATAGAAACTGATCTGGTTTCGTGGCTCTCACCTAACGATCCCAGCTCTGTGGTGACCAAAGCAGCCAAGAAACTGAAGAACAACTTAGGTAAGAATGTTTCGTTTTACATACCATGTTTTGGGTATTATCTGAGTTGGTAGTAGTAGGGGAACTGTAAACTGGTCTTAAATGAATAGGGGATCTAATCTTCTGGAAGGACAGAAAATTTAATCTGGCCTCTGGTGAGAAATAATGTATGCATAAGGCTACAAAGTGGGGATGGACAACTATAGCATCTGTTCTCTTTTTTTTTTTTTAAAGAAACCCTTTGGATTGGAAATGAGTGGTGTATTTTTCTACCATTTTGAGGCAGGAAAACATACAACTGTAATATGAGGAGTTAAAAAATAACTATCCAAAATCTTGAAACATGCCACATTCTCCTACTGCATTTGCTGTCACCCCAGTGAAGCACAGGCCCCAGCCACCATTTTTACATTTTTACATTTTTTTTCTTCTTCTCTGCATTGAGACATGGGGGCATACAGAAAATAAACTGTGTATCTCGTTAATCTGTGCAATCATGAAGAGAGGTGATAATGGAAGTGTGGGGTTGCCAGCTTTCTAAACTGTGTTGGGTTAGTTACTAGCAGCTTGATTTGGAGGCACTTAACAGGTAACACTTGACTTTATGAAAAAGGACAGCTTCATCTTCTGCTCTCTGCAACTGTTGCTGTTGATGTATCACAAGTAGTCTGTGGGCAATCATGTATGAGAGGGAATAGATGGTTGTACTCTAAGTGTTTATCAGTAGTGATAGGCTTTTAAAACTCCCTCCCTCTCTTTCGCAGGGAGCCATGCATGCTGCTGTTTTGATACTTATCTGGATTTAGGGCTGTCAAAAGGTGGCCACTGATTACATTCTGTAATTCAGTTTTCAAAAGATTTCCAAAGCAGGGGGAATAACAATCTACTTACAAGTAGTCCTCATTTAGCAACTGCCTCATTTAGCAACCATTTGCAGTTACAACCATGATGAAAAAGTAGCTTTATGACCAATACTCACATTTACAACAGGTCTGTAAAGCAAAGGAAAGCTGAAGTAAGATCATAAGTACAGTCACAGTTTCACTTAGTGACCACTTAACTAAGTTGCTGGTCCCAATTGTGGTCACTAAATGAAGACTACCTATATATGCTGGAGTCTAGTAACCACCCATATGCAAATTATTGCTTAAGAACAACCAAAAGAAAAATGCCAGTGCAGAAGGGGAAGGCAAAAGGTAGGTTTTCAGAAAACCAATGCAAACATTATCAATCTCCTCTAGATGCTGAGAGCAAAACAGAACGTTTCCATGAGAAGATAGAGCGTGAAGAGGTGAAGGAACGTCGATATCACCGGCGGGAAGAGCTGGCTCCCTACCCCAAGAGCAAAAAGGGTAAGAGCAGAAGCCCTACCCTGAGCTTTCAGCCATAAGCATATCTCTTCCTGGAGGCTGGGTTTCTCTTGCCCCATAAGGGAGGGTGATTATCAAAGTCCAGCATTCCTCTTGTCTGTCTTCTACAGCAAGCCGAAAGGATGAAGAGCTTGATCCCATGGACCCCAGCGCTTATTCAGATGCTCCTCGGTGAGTCTCCTCAGTAGAAAGCTCCACCCACTGCTTCAAGCATCCTGCTGAAGCTGAGTGTCAATGCAGAAGAATGGCTATATTGGAAGATCAGAAGTAGGCACTGGGAGAGGGCAAATGCTTCCAGTTTCAGGATAAGAGTATTGGATAGAACAGGATGTGTGTTTAAAAAATTCTTGGGTAGCTCCCTGCTGGATCTTAAAGATTGGACCATATGATTGGACCATATCTTCTATTGCTCTGATACAGGTAGTCTTCAACTTGCGACCACAATTGGGACCAGAATTTCCTTCACTAAGTGATATGGTCATAAAGCGTGATGTCACATGACCACATTGCTTGGCGACGGTAATCCTGGTCAATCCCAGTTGCCATTGTAACCCCAAGACGCGTGGGTTGTTAGGTGAGGACCCATCCCAATCCAAGCCATTCCTGGCTTTCTCCATCCCAGCCCAGAGCCTCAGTAAGGTAAGGGACTGCCTCCCCTTCAACTCCCCTCACCCACCTATCTCCTCTCCATCTCTACCCTTTTGGCTGCCCTGCACCCTGCTTTGCGGGTTGGCGAGCAGCCCCAGAACCATGTGACTCTGGGGCTGCTTGCCACGCAGCATCCCAGGAAGCCCCAGCAGTGTGGTACAAAGCCACAGCATCCTGGGAAGCCCCAGCCACCCCAGCCCCGTCCCAGCCACAGTCATCGTCACCACCCTGCATGCCACTGCCCCTTCTTGCTCCCCTTGCTGTCGAGGTATACCCTTCCTGATCCTTTGTGAGGCAGCTGCTGGCCATGTGAGGAAACCGCCGTGCGCAACCTTGGGAAGAAAGCCTCATGCGGCCAGCAGCTGCCTTGCAGAGGGCCAGGCCAGGCGTGCTTGGTCAGCAGCAGGAGTGAGAAAATGGCAAAGGTCAGCTGGGGCGTCAGGGACTGTGGAGTGTAGGGGGCCAAAAGGCAGGGGGAGATAGACGAGTGGTGGGAGTTGAAGCGCCCCTGCGGTTGTAAGTGCGGGTGGGCTGCCAAGCACCCGAATTTTTATCACACAAACTCGGGGGCACTGCAACGGCAGTTATAAGTCTCTTCAGTCATTGAATGAAGTCGAGGACTACCTGTATGGCAGCTTCATGTGTTCCAGTTGTTTGCTGGAATTAACAATGAAATGCATTCAGGCACTTTAAATTCTTCTTTCTAGATTTTAGCAGACTTTTCTAGTGTATATACATAAATTTTGTCCAAGCATAACTTCTGTGATCTCTGGGGACTAGAAACTTGCATTTTCTATGAAACCATGGGTTATGAGGAAATTAAATTCTGTGCCTGTATCCGTAATTACATGCTTTCATTTTCTAAAACTACACCAATCAGAGGTTCAAGCGTTGCTGTGTTATGGTGTTCATAGAATTTTAAAAGTCAGTGAGCACTTCAGGCTGTCTTAGGAGCCGAGAAGTAGAGGAGTGGATGTACTGGCAGTGGGGTAGGGCCAAAGCTAGATGAGGTTAGAGGCAAAGTAGTAAGGGGCAGTGACAGGATTGGGGAGCAACCAGTGACGCCAACATTGTTTCTACATCTCAAGGGGAACCTGGTCCACAGGGCTGCCCAAGAGAAATGAAGCCAAGACAGGTGCAGATACCACAGCCGCCGGTCCACTGTTCCAGCAGCGCCCCTATCCAAGTCCTGGGGCTGTCTTGCGTGCGAATGCAGAAGCTTCTCGAGCCAAGCAGCAGGACTGAGATCCCACTCCTCCTTTCCTGAATGTATTTGGTAATAAAGTTAGATATAACATATTCTGAAAGATCTGCTGCAACAACAGGACTCCCTCTGGACTGCAGACTGGGCCAGTGGTAGTTTTTCCAAATCTTTGCTACAACTAAAACTCTTTGCACACCCAACAGTAAGGGATGCTGATCCTTGTAGTTCAATAGCTTCTGGAAGGCTACAGGCTCCCAAGATCTTTTGGGCTGTCGGGAGGCAGAGTTTCACTGCAGAAGAGGTTCTACAGTGTTCCAGTGCTGCATGCTGACTTCTGCAGGGAACAGTCTCCTCAGCAGTCTCCATCTCCTTCCCCCATCCCACTCTGAATTTCAAAAAAAAAAGTTGAGATAGAGACTGCTTTGTTTTTCCCCATATAACATTTTTTCTCAGCTTATAATATTTGCATAGCATAAAGAAAACTCCTTCTGCAGACTTAGTTTGTAGAATCTGGCCAGTAATAACCAAGCAAGGCAAGGAGAAGGAAGCCAGCACGCTTCCCTTTCCCGACCCCAAATCCACCTTTGCTCAGAGTAGACAGGACATGCAGCTGTTCGGCTCTGCTGAAGTGATCACACCACACCCGTCCTGCTTGCTTTAAAAATCTGTATGTTTTTACAAGAATAAATCAAACATACAAAGCTGCACAGTATTTAAAAGTTAATGCCTTGGTTATGAAACTATTTCAACAATGCCTTTATAATGCAATTAATATTTGATATGATGCTACATATATCTGCACTGATATATGATGGGTGGGAAGTGTCTTACCTAGGGAGTAAAAGGAAACACTGTCTCTCCCTTTGTACAGGGGGAGGGAAAGGTTCAGCACACAAAGTGAAACAGAAATGGCAAGCAAGGAGAAGCCAGTATGTTGTCTTCATTTTGGTTTCCAAGGTCTGGATTTACGCAGGCCAGACTTTTGCAAACTCAGCTGTAGAAAGCAAAACGAAGCTTGGAACTTACACTTGGTTAGGTCTCTGCTCCAGATTCTCAGTTCATAGGGGTAGGAGCAAAGTCAAAGCTTTAGACAAGTTATAACTTTTCTGATAATGTCTGTCCTTCAGAGGGGAATGGTGGTTTGGAATGAACCTCAGTTTACAACAATCAAGGGCCAAGGCTGGTTCATACATGGTTATTTTCTTTCTGAGCTCATTCACACTACTATATATGACAATTCTGTAATTAGTATTAATATTACAAAAGTTGTGAGCAAACTTTTGAACTTACAAGTCCCCCTGCCCACCAGTCCTGCCTACATTGTAAACAAAATAGAGAATTAGGGAAGGAGAAAGAAAAAAAAAGCACAGGCCTGAAGTTGTTCCCCAGTGTTGCAATTTCTAAGAGTCCTGGCAGAATTTGACAAACACTTGGAACAGTGCCTTAGAATTCAGAATGCACACCAGGGCAGTGAGACAAGGAATCAATGAAGGGTGTTGTCCCAGCTTTAAAAAAGCACCTCTAATAGCTCCTTTGCTCCTCTGAGATAATCCAATAGGGAGCCATTAATTGGTATCGGAACTCCTATGGGCCAGGTGTGTATGTGAGGCAGGCTTAATGAGAGACTAGATTTGCTCCATAATTATTTGTTATCAGGCACTTGATGGAGCGCATCAGGCTACCCAAAAGGCACACCTGAGAAAATTAGTCCTATCTTCTCTATACGCACAATGCCATGAATTGTTCTGCTTCTTGGAAGTGCAGGCAGAAGATTTCATTCATCTAGGAAAGCATCACAGCTGAAATGCTGCTAGAGTCTTCTATGGTGTTTTGGCTTTAAGAACCTTTTTCTTTAGCTGAGACCCTGAAAAAAAGCAGAAGAATGGTTGAGCTCAGTGAGAAACAGGACCTGGAGATTGGGCATCTCTTAGAATATTCCATCTGCCTCTACGTTAATTAGTTATACCCACCTTCCCCAATCTGGGAAGATCCACTAATTCAAAGGGTACAGGGGATGGCTGAACACCCGTATTTTTCTTTTTCTACAATTCATTCCTTGCCCAAATCAGGAATTTAGATTAAAAAAATCCACACTACTACCCCAGCCCTGTTTAGGAATCCCATGGACTTGAACATCCACTCTACCAATAAGCAACCATGAATAAAATGGAACAATATCCCTTGGTGTTTTATAAGTCTTTAATCATGCAATAGGCTGATTATAGCTTTCTGAGAAGGCCCTTCACTTTGATATCGGATATGGTGCTCAAACAAAAGCAGGACTGTATGTTTTATGTGATCATGGAAGGTGGCCTTAAATTGAAAATCTCACCCACTCGGAATTGCAATTCATTTCCAAAAAATTCAAAACAGCAAGCTCCTACATGTGGATGGTTTTAATAGTGGCTGGGTTCATATACTGCAATAAACCATGATGGTTTGATTTACTGTGCTCTCTGAACACAATCATTGTAGTTTGTGAACAATTTATGACTGAATGAGTTCAGCAAATCCAGCCATGGATAACAAACCATCATTAAAATAATCTCAATCTATTGGACTTTGCTATTACCATTGCCCAATTAAATTTCAAAGGCAACAAATAAGCCCTTTTTCCTAGACTACAGGAATCAAAAATCATTCTGCAACCGAAAGAAATAACAACTGCACATTTGCATATATTGCAGAACAAATTTTCCCCATAAAGCAAGAGACAGCTATATCAGAAGCATCTAACTTCCAAGATCTCTTGATTTTGTTTTGTATTTGCCTGTTGCACTTTTCCCAAGTTCTTTATATTTGCAAGGGCTTGAAAAGACATTCCTCCTAAATGAAATGAGCAGGGGCACCTGGTGGGAAGGGGGTGTCAGCATCAAAATAGCAGGCACAACTGGGGTGATCGAAGCCCTGCCCTATTTTATGTCCATGCAGAAAGACTGGGGCATGATCACCAGTTGCACTCCCATTTTTACACTGTTGACACCCTCTTGTGGACAACCCTAGAAATAAGGTCTCTGATAGTTAATTAAGCAATCTAGGAGGATTGAAGAGCACGCCATTGGTTTTCTCTGACCTGAGGTTTTTCTTTGATTTCAGCCCAATTTCTTAAATTGTTGTGACAGCTTCGCTAGGCATGGTAACCTTAGACCAATATGGTGAAGTACCAGAATGGGTAATCTGCAGCCTCCAAATAACACTGAACTACAACTCCCAGCATCCTTCATTACTAACCAAGCTGGCTGGGAATGTTGGAGTGGTAGTTTGGCAACATCTAGAACGTGACATGGGATCAACTCTCTATTCCTGATAGTGCTGCATTTGGACCAGAGGACAGATTTCAAAGCTCTGTTTATTGGAGAGTCATCCCCTTCTAGCTAGAGCAACCTAAAGCGGTTGGAGTGAAGGGAACAAAGAATATGTCTGAATGTTTTCCATGGGAGGATCCAAAATTTAGTAGTTATTCTATTAGTCCACTCAATTGACCATAATACAGATTAGGGGAAATGGCGCGCATTTGGCAAAGGGGAATTATGTACACTAATCCCACGTAATATGGCTTCTCCTACTTGTAAAGTGTCAGAAGCAATGGCGTATTTTTAAAACACATTGCAAAGGCTAGCTGTGTTCCGATGACATGCTTTACCAGTTATCCTAACTAAAACTCAGTTTGCCCAGTTTCCTGGGTTTGCAGGATGCACTGAATTATAAACAAACCACACTGTCAGAGTTGATACCACACACTAGGCTAAAATGTTTACTGGTTTGTGGTACACTGTGTTCTTAGTTTAACAAGGTAGTTACGACAATGTTGTCACACTATCTAGGACACTGACCTGCACAATACTATTTACTACTCCCTCCTTTTTCCTCCTTGAGTCAGATCTGTACATACAGCCAGAATAAAGCACACCAAAAACCAATATAGTTTGAGACCAAAAAAGCAGGATGGGGGAATATTATTTTGAATTCTTTCATGCAACAAACTCACTTCAGTTAGAAAATAAGCTTATTAGAGGGAAAAGCCCTGCTGTAGCTGCTGTTTTAGGGAGGAAGAAAAAAGACAGCATTCAAAAATATGCTTATAACTCATTCTAGGTAGTGTAGACTGGCTTCAATGTAAGTTTGCCATTGAAAGGAAGGACCAGCACTTGCAAGGTGTTCTATGACACTGTATTTCAGCTGCAGAATCAGTATGCCTAAACAATCTTTACATGTATTTTCCTTTCTCTGCAACTTGCAAAACTCTCGATGTTCCTGGCAACCTTTATAAAGGGCAATAATCAACTCCCATACTGAATTTAGCAAAAAAAAAAAGCAAAGTGCCAAAGCAGGAGCTATCCCCAATTCTGTTGTGTGGAGAAAGCATATACAGTGACTGTTGCATTTGAAATGGACTCCTGAAGTGAGCTCAGACATTGTGCTAAGACATAATTCTGGCTTAGTTGGTTAGCATGTTGGGTGAGCTGAATCAGTTATGGTTAATTGGTATTTATTAGTCCATTATTAGTCCATCCATGGCTCAACACATTGTGCAAAGCTAGCTGTTTATTCAAGAAACTCATAGCTAAGCATGAGATGTGAACCATGACAACTATTTCTGCCTGGGAAGTGGCCACAGAACTCACACTATTAATACCATTTCATAGAAGATAACAGCAAACAACTGCTGGTGGTTCTAATCTAATTATAAATTAGTGCTCAAATGTGAACCTCCAAAGGATTAATAAAGCAAGAAACCCAGCCCAAAAGTGCCAGAACAGTTACAAATCCAGAATGCAGAAGTGGTAAGATCCCTGTGTGGTGAACATTAATAGTTCCAAAAGAGAAAGGTCCAGTGCTTCTCAGGACAGATATGCAGCAGTCTATTCAATTGGAGCCACCCAGAAACAGGCTGCAGTAGGTCCATTGATCACAACTGGATCCTGCAGAGCAGAATCAATGCAGAGGACAATCTAGCTGGGTATACAAATTTCTGTGGTCTGGTTTGGCTTAACGATTCCTAGCTGTTCATCCACAGCTCACATCCAACATCTTTCCTTACCCTGGGTGAGTTCTGTAACTTTTTTGAAAAATTCAGTGTTTTGAAAGCAATGATTTATATCTTCCAAGACTTATCAGTTAAGCAAAATGTGCATAGTTTTTCTTAGTTTGGATATTTTATTCATCCTTATTAATAAGTTTCCAGTCTTATCATGAGATAAGGAAATATTGGAGACCACAGAAGGTCTGTTCCATGAATCTTTGAAAATGCCATTTAATCTTGTTTATCGGCCATTGAAATTTCACAGCCACGACCATATCTTTAAAGGCTTCAGGCACAGCTCTTTCCGGATCCACTTGAAGATCTCCAGACTGACCCAGTCCCATGCTACTTACCTACTGCTCTTCCCCACAGAAACCAAGGTTTCAGTCTTTGCCATCTTATTGTCTACTTAGAGCGAATTTGGTCACGGGGAGGGGAACAATTCAAGCAAGCAAATCTATCATTGCAGTCTGAGATGGTATGTCAGATCTGCAAGGAGAATGCTATATTGGGCTCCAGAGGTCATTCTCATTTAGCCTGGAGGAGAATGCACCTCCCCAATATGACAGAGCCATTTTTATGTGCTCCAAGTAAGGTTCCTTGGAATAAATCATGGGTCAAAAGAGAGAGGTAATTACCTATGTTGTTACATTGTGCCCATCATGTTTTCCTCCTTCCTCTGCATCCTCAGTTGAACTTAATTGGAGCTTCTTTTCCTAGGAAGGGTTTCTTAAACAAGTTGACCAGATTTCCCAGAATCTGGTGGTAATTTTCTAAAAAAATATAGCTGAAGCCCATTAAGCAAATATTTACTATCCTGAGAAGTAGGGAGCAAACAAAAAGCAGCGTATCAGCAAAACATGCCTGCAGGTTTGCCTCTAGACCAGAGATGAACAATCTCTGGGCCACAAGGGGGTGCCCTTAATAATTCTGGGAAAGAAGACTACTGTTGACTAAATGCAAAGTAGGCGGAACTGTATCTTGCAAGGAGTGGGCTGGAATTTTTCCCCAAATTTTGAAAACAGTCTGGGTTTACAGTATGCATAACAGGAAAAAGCATCTCTCAATTCTGACTGGGAGGGGAATCCTACAGTTCCAGGGACGCAATCTTCTACTCTTGGTTTAGGTGTCTGAGCACTGAAGTCCAGAGGCATCATCCAAAAGCCCAAGATGGAACTTCTAGAGAAGGAGGGGGGCAGAATTCTGAGGAAAGAATTTGCGCTAGCCATTTTATTCCCACTTGTAAAAGGCAATATTAGATCATAATGCAAGGGGACTAACCGTAACCTAGACATGGAAAGAACCACACCCTTATTTTCTTTTCTCCTATTTTATGTACACTAGATCAGTCTGAATTGGGAAGTACAGCAGTTCCTGGCCCTTGAGTATAATGTATTCCTAATTTTAACACATGTTGGTAAAATCAAGCCCAACTTTAATGATTAGAGAGTGCTGTTCATTCTTAATCAAATGGTAGAGTTAGGCTATGGCTGCTGCTTCTAATAGGGATGCACAGTCCAAAGCCTCAGGGCTGCTGGTGGTCATTGGAAAACTTGGGTGTGGCCCCAAGAACCATTTTAAAAGCTGTCACCAAATTGTAACTTTTAATGTGACAGACAAGCCAACGGCTTTCTGCATTTCAATAATATGCCATCCCATGCATGTATTATTTCAGATACTTCTATTTGGTGCTTCAGTCATTACACTTCAACTGGCTCACAAGCATGGAAAAACAAATAATCTGTGCCAGCTTTCCTCATTTGGATGCCCTCCAACTGGGCTGAACTACGGTTCCCATCGTGCCCCCAGCCAACAAGATCACTGGCCACACACTGACTGAAGGCTGATGAAACCTGGTCAGCGTCCTGGCTCAAAATCACACCTGCCCCTCCCCTTTACAAGCAGCTGATCCCAATCTCAAGTGAAAAGGCTGCCCCATCCCTTGCCCCAGCCATCTCCCAGCGTTAATAGGGTTAGACATGCAGCATGAGACAGATCTGCCCTTTTCAAGGCTTCCTCAATCATTAAGCAGTAAGGCTAAATAAATACACTCTCTTTATTCATCTGTAATTTATGTACATTGACAAACAGTACAGGCTTTCTTTAGTTGTTTTCCTTAAAAAAGCAGGATTCATAAAAAATGATTAGCAATGTAAAAAAACACGTACATACACACACACACACATCACATGACTTGGGTTTATCCCCCCCATTTCAAAAGGAAACAAAATTCACCCAACACCCTCCTACCCCATCCCACCCACACTCCAGGGTTAGTGCACTCCCCCTCAACCAACAGGCCTAGTCTGCATAAAATGCATAAGGATTAAGGAGAGGCAGCCCAAATCCCAGTAAGCCTCATGTATTAACAGAGAAAGGAAACCGAGGCAGAGATGGGCCCTAACTTCTCAGAATTCCAGCCTCCCTTACCCTTCCGTTACTTTTAGATTCAAGCCCTACACAATGTGAGAACCACCAAGCTGAACAGTTTGCATGTGCAGACTGGAAATGCAGAGCAAATGCCTGGGAGACCTCTGGGGGTGGGGTGGGGTGAAGAGGAAAGACACACACTTGAAATGGGCTTAGACGTTCACTAAGAACCCTGTTTTCATTTAATCACCTCTCCTCCCTGCAAAGTGTGAGAGAAAGTGAATGGCACTCAAATTCTTCACTTCTGCTCCAGACTCCCCAGTAGGTGCCACAGAGTTCCAGAAGGCCAGACATTCCAATCTTGGCTAACAGCATCAGCACTAGCAGATGGTCCTCCTCTTAATCTCTGGCTGATGCAAGTTTCTCTTCCTATACTGTATATACATTATCTGCCCATATTTGGTGGCTCTATCCTAATATTCTTCCACCCTTACCCTGAGATTTTTCCTACTTCAAGCCAAACATCTTTTATGTGAAATGAGACAATCTGCTGTCAGTTCCACTCCATCTTCTCTGTCCATAACAAAACCTTAATTAAGTAGTAATGATTCAGTCTCCTCATTTGCCCAGTAACCCCCAAACCTTTAATATTCTAAATATACACTGAGGGCAGGAAATAATTAAGTACACCTCAAACTCAGTTCCCTTTCCACAATGATCCAATAGCATTTGCTACATAATCAGAGCTGGAGAAGGAACAAAAGCAGAATGCCAAGCAACTGAAATACCCAACACCTTGATTTCACTGGCCTGATACTGCCACATCCACGCACGCACACACCTTTCTTGTTAAATTTTCATCTGCTACAGAAGATAAATTTGACAATTTCTCAGCAAACAGCTGTAAATAAGCTAATTCCTATTACTTTCACATATCTGGCATTTTAAAAACTGTTGGTATGCTCCCAAAGGGCAAATGACATTTTTCTTCACATTTCCCTCTTTACGTGTTGCTGTATATTCCCCTCTCAATCCTTCTTGAGATTATATCTGATCTTCTATTAAAAGTGTTTACTCGAAAGTACACCGCTTTATAAAATTTCTCCCTGCTGACCAGACATAAGAAAGTTCTTGGGATACAAGTATTCCCAAAGCAGTGTTGCCCCTAGTTGCTTTTCAGGAGGCAATGTCCCCAAAAGAGGGACAGTGGAGAAACAGACAGGAAAGTTAGAAGTCAAAGAGAAAGTGAACAATTCAAGCAGGCAATGGCAGATACCAGCTGAGGTGTGTGAAGAATTATACACTGTTGGATAAAATAACAATTTATGGGTCTATAAAACGGGCAGCTGAATAAGCTGGGAAGCAGGTGAGAAGAAAAGAAGGAGAATACACAATGGTCAGCACACAGTTAAGAACATAAAGACTAAGGCAACAGGGAGAGGAGAGAGCAGAGAAGACCTGGGGAGAAAGTGAGAAGTGAAAAAGATGGACATTGCAAAAAGGGCTCCAGGTTTTGTTGAACCTTCACAAGAAACCAGTGACAGGTAATGCAGGATGTGTTCTGTTCTTCTCAACTGATCAGTACTGACTTGGACAGGAAGCCATCTGTAGTCACGGAAGGAAGTTCCTTGCTTTGTGCTCCATGGCCCTGCTGCTGGATAGCTGCCCCAACCAGGGATCGATTGGCCAGCGGTCCCTTGGGCAAGCTGTACAGATAGACAGCCCCTATGACCAGGCCTGCTCCTAGAGCAAAGAGTAGGTTGAGGTGGAAGTCAAAGAGGTAGATGGAAGCCACGGTGGACACCACAATGGAGAAGGAGGTGGCAAAGCCTTTGAGGATGTTGTCAGCATATTTCACCACCACTGCCACCAAGAGGCCACCAAAAGCCTGATTCAGGATCACTCCCCACACCAGTGGGGTGTAGCCAAAGAAGAATCCATGCTGAGCTACGGCTGCCCCCTCAGTGGACCACAGCCCCAACAGCCCCAGCAAGGTCCCGAAGATGCCCAGTTGGACATTACGTAGCCAAACCGAGGCTGTGCTGCCCTTGAGGATCTTTTCAAAATAGACCCCAGCAAAGCCAGACGAGAGGCACGACACCACCACGGCCACAAGCCCCACCATGTAGCTTTGTTGCATCCCCTGGCCCTTGGGGGTTGGCTTGCCCCCTGCCTGCTGCTGCTCCACCTGGACAATGGCTACACCGGCAAAAAGAAGCACGAGGGACAGCCACTGAAGACGGGACAGGCTCTTGCGGAGCATCAGCACCGAGAAGACAGCTGTGGTGAGGATCTTCAGCTGGTAGGTGACCTGGGAAAGGCAGTGCAGTTTAGTAGCCACCCCAATATGCCATGAGTCAGGGAGCTGCCAGCCAGCCAGGGACCAAAGAATTATGTAGTTCCCCTTTGCCCCAGACTCTAAATTATGCAAGAACTCTCCACACACATTGGACCACAATCCCCAGAATTCCCAGTGGGAGTTGCAGCTCCACTCATCCAGAAGATATCTGGTTAGGGAAAGTTAATCCAAACCACTGTAGGGATCCAGATCCCCTTTCGGTTCTTATTCTCTATGTGCAAAATGAGACCAAAATCTCAGATGGTACTGCACTGATTTAACCCACTTTAAGTCTTTAATCTTACTGAAAAAATAAAGTTACTGAAACTATAGTGGTTTAGAATCAAATATCCAGGATTGTATGTGTACTCTGATTCCACAAAAGTGGATAAAAAGTGGAGATTGTAACAATTTGAACAATTCAGCATCCCATGAATGTTTGCTTTCATTTTTAAAAGAGAGGAATTCTCTACTCTTTATGATAGTGTGACCATTTGCTTCAGAATAACAATAATACCTGCTGAGATTTCAGAACCCAGGAATTCAGCATGTTCCCCCCAACCAATTATCAGAAACAGAGTACATTACGCAGAATCATAAAAATATTCAAAAACTCTGCAAAGTGAGAAAAAAGAAATGTTGATTTGCTTAAGTTGCATAATTTACATAAACGTGATTCAGCTTTTTCCAAAGACAGAAAACAGGCTGTCTTTGCATGCATGTATGTATGGTTTTGAAATAATGTGACACTGTCAGTCCTTTCCAGACAGCTAGCTACAGTTCCCACCTCTGTGGTGAACAACAACCCTAATGCCCCTCGGATAAACAGTGCATTTTTAATGAAATCAAACCATAGCCATGGGAACCCACAGCAGTATTTCTAGATATGTGCACAGGATTTCAATAAGCACTGTCCAAGAGACTTAACACAACTCAGGATGCCCATCCTCATGACTCTGATGTGGGGAGGAGGTACAGATAAATTTTAAAAAACAGCACATATGACCCCATGGTATATAAACTGAGTAGATGAAACTGAAGGACATTCTCCTTTGGAGAGATGCTTCTAACGTTGCCTGAGAGCACCTTAGAGAAGCAGTGAAAGCAGGAGCATCTCACCTGGAAGGTGGCTGCTGGCAAGTTGGAGATGGCCACGTACTGCAGGTTGTTTTGGAGGGTGTAAATGAGAGAAGGCACTGCTAGCTTGAGAGTGTCCATATACTGCACCAAAATGGAATCATACAAGGAGGCAGCAAACTGTCTCAGATTACCTGCAAAGGGATACAGACAGGAAACTGTTTCTTTAACAGGGCTCACTTTTTAAACGAGTAAGACCTGGGAGGACCAGGAGAGAGCTAAGCGATGCAAGTGACTAACTGGCTTCTTGTACCTATCGAGGCACAACTGTTTTTTCAGTCCCTTTTGCTTTGACATAAATAACAACTGCAAAAGGGGGAGATCCCTCATTATTATGCACTGCAACTACTTGTTCCTATCCACCTTTGAGAATATTCAGGACTAGCACAAAAGGGATAAATAGACAGAACCATAAATACTACTCTCCCCAAGGACGTGGCGTGAAAGAATTCTTTTGTCAGTGTTTGGGCACGGGAAAAACTAATGGGCGTTTATAATAAGAGGGGAAGAACTCTCACAGAAGGGTTTACTGTTATGTGTTGCACATCTTAGAGTTTGACAGCCTAGGCCCTTGAGTTAATTTCAGTAAACTTCTGTAAGTAAGCAGTTAAGACTCCTGGCAACAATAAGCTATCCTAGCCTCCTGTAGGGGAGTGGAGACTGTAAAAGAGAGAGAGGAGGAGGAAAAAGAGAAAAAAGGTAGTCAGAAGGACTGTCCCTATTGAGGCTGATTTCATTCATTGATTCCTTCAGCTCCACTCACAATTGCTATGGGGCTCCCTATAGATTATTTTCATGGCTCAGGACCCAGGTACCTTCTCCCAATGGCCCCTGCCCATCCAATAAGATCTAAGAGGATGGGCTGCCTCAAGGTCCCTATCCTTAAGTAATATCACCTACAGGGAGGGAGCTCAGAGACAGACTTCCTCCATTACTGCTCCCCCTTCTCTAGAATCATATCCCACCCCCAAGACTGGACTCTCCTCTACACGTCTGGCATTCTGTGAAGCCATTAAGCCCTGGTTGTTTCAAGCACACTTTTAAGGTCTGAAAGATGTAATGGTTCCCCTGTAGAAGAATATTGATTGATTATGGGATTTTCCAGTGCTAATTTGTGGTGGTGGTTGGATTATTACTGTGCTTGTTAGGGTTCTGTATCCTTTTAACCTGATTACAGAATGAAGTATGCAAGCTGGTCAGAGTCCCTTGTGGACTGAAACAGCACGCAAGTAAATAAAATAAAAGTAAGGCCCTTACAAGAAAACACACGGCTCACCTTACATCAATTGGTCAGTTAACCAAATTTTTTAAAATATTTTTTTAATCCTGCCTTTATTATTTTTATAAACAGCTCAAGGCCTCAAACATACCTAATACTCCTTCCTCCTCCTATTTTCCCCACAACAATCCTGAGAGGTGAGTTGGGCTGAGAGAGAGAGTGACTGGCCCATAGTCACCCAGCCGGCTTTCACGCCTAAGGCTGGACTAGAACTCACCGTCTCCTGGTTTCTAGCCTGGTGCCTTAACCACTAGACCAAACTGGCTCTCATTTCCTTTAAAAAATAAAATTATACATTTCTATTTAAAGAAGGAGTTCTATGCTTGAGTATGCATGTTTTAAATTATTGTTTCACATCATGTAATTGTTTAATTATGTCATGTTTCTTTCTGTATCCACAGAAAAAAAAATTTTTTGCTTGTTTTCTTCCCATTATTGGATACATGTTGCAAGCATTCAACCATGTTCTTTAAATTTATAGTGAGCCAAATTCAGATATAATCATAAACAGTAATACATAGAAATGACTGAGCATAAAAGAAATTTAGATTTTTTAATTCAGCCATTAGATTGGTCAAAGGCAGAAACTCAAATTCTCAACCCAGCAAGACTGCCATTGAACATGAAACAATGTTGGGAGAAGCGAGCCCTTTTTTGAGGGCCTCCATTTTCCTTGGTATGGTATTCCCACCTTGCTTTTGAACAAAGATGAGCAGCAGACAGGTGATTCCCTTAAGGATTTCAGCCATAACCACTGCTGTGGTAGCAAAGAATCGGTTCCCTGGCAGGGTGCGCACATAGCGAATGCTCAGGATCAGAGAGGCATTTTGCACCACCAAGACTGCTAAACTAATGTACTTCAACTGTCGATTACCTGGGAAAGGAAAAGTAGAAAAGAGTTCAGTATCCTTCTACCAGTATCACTCCCCAGCAGGCTCACAAGCGATACTGAAACTGAGAAAATGATGCCCATCTAGAAACAGTACAAGAGATTTTGAGGAAATCCACAGAAATTATTGGGAACCTCTGGGTCCCTTTTAAGTTTCTTGTATCAGACGCCACTAAGACAGGTGTTAGAACCTGGAGAATCAAGGCTTAAATTCATACAACCCCCCCCCACACACACACACACAGACCAAGTTCCATCTCCTCCCCTTAGTTGCCAGCCCACCAGCTAGAGGATGCAGGATGGCGGTTGTCAACACTGAGCAGAAGAGGGCAATCCATGGCTGACAGAAGAGCTCAGCAGCCTCATTTTTGTAGTCCTTAGACCTCCTCCAGCTTGCACTGTCAACATTCAATGTCAAAACCATAGATTTTTGGAGGCACCATTTTTCTTATCAAATTACATTCCTCTCGTACATTTAACTTCATTGAAGCTTATTTCACCCCTTAATCTACTGTCCAACAAAGGGCCAACAATGTCAGCCCATCCCTGATTATATTTCCAATACTAGCTTACAGACGAAATCAAAATCCAAAGTGCAGTCCTATAGTGTAAATTGGAAGCCTGCCCTGAGTTTGAGGAATGGAAGTGGAAAACACCAATTTACCAACTTCCATCTTTCCAAGAGTAGGCATCTTATTAAACTAGTTGCTGACCATACCAAAAGAGAATGGTATATTATTTCTTTGTTTGAAATATGTCTGGTTTTGATAAATACAATGTGTGGTAATAAGCACTGAGATCCAACAGTCTAACTTTTTGACGTCAAATGGGAAAATGCCTTCTCTCTAATCTAACTGGCAGATGGACAAAAGTAATTCAGGAGCAATGTTCTTCATGTCTAATGATCTGTATCTCAGAACTCCAGCAATATCAAAAAGGGTTAAGAGTTTCCATCCGGCTGTACTGACACTTAAACCGGATTCTTTGTTTGGCTCTGCAAACAATATCTTGTGCCTGTCAGTTTAAGATGTACATTAGGCAGGAAGTGGAGAGCAAAGAAAATGCGTTAACAACTTGATGAACAACATTCCATTTCTAGGAACAAAAGCCATTTATTTCCTGAATGAAAAGCCAAGCAGCAAGAAAGCTAATATAAATAAAGGACAAATGTATAATCCGGTGCACTCCAAATATAATGGTCTATATCTGAATGGCTTCAAAGAAGTTTTCTTACAATAAATTGCTGCATAAGTTGCCAATTTAAAGACAGGATTCAGTTTTTATCCCTGATATACCAAACTAGCTTTGAAATGTACTTACCATAGTTTGCAGAAATAGTTTTTAAAATATTACTGCATCATTTTAAATAGTTCCAGTTGTCCACAACCAACAGCAATTAGCCCCAGCCACAAGGAAACTCACAATATAGAAAATTAATAGTGTATGACTTAATTTCCACAGGATTATCCCCAATACCTATTAATTAAAAGTTCAAGGGCTCTCCCCTTGCAGCATTGTGACAATTTGCATTTTAAATTAAGTTATTGGCTAACACACACACACCGCTCTCAGCAGTAAATAGTTCTTGGAGATTATCAGCAACGTGAGATCATCAGGCTGGGAATACACGCTGGCAGCTCGCCATAAAATGCCTAAGACTTTCCTAAGTATTTTGCAGACTTCTTTTGGAGCACACTTTCTCTCTCTCTCTCTCCAATAAGCACGCGCACACACGTATGTGGGAAGAAGGAGGTACATGATGTTGGAGACTATTTTATTTCTTCAGGAATTCATATCCATTCCAGCAAATTAGCTACAATTCCCTCTCTGCTCACGAAAATAAAATCCCCGACCCCAAAACTTACAGAAGGCTCGCCCGACCTGCGTGCAGGAAAAACCTTCCCGGAGGGAGGAGGCAACGCAGCGCCTCTATAAGGAGCAGGAGATGGGAAATATTCGGAATTTGGTTGCTATACATATATATATATATAAAAAAAATTATATATATAATGGCCCGAAACGTCCCCACTCCTCCCTTCTCCTCCTCCTCACTCTCACCTGCTGCCGCCACCGGACTGTCAACGCCACCTCCCGGGCCCCCAGCCGCTGCCATGGTGGCAACCGCGGGGCAGCGGACCTTTCCCACTGTAACGGATACTTCCGCATCCTACCTGCCGGCCTATTCCGTTTCCGGGAGAAGCTTAGCTAACCATAGAGATGGGGCAGAAGGCGAGGCGGAAGCGAGCGGGTAGGCGGGGTCAAAGCCCAACAGTTCCATAGGTAATGTTCTTTCTCGAGTTCACAGCGGAGAGAGAGGATGGTAGCGGCGAAGCCGGCACATAATTTTGCAAAATTAGACCGAAAAATCCCGCGTCCTTTGACTCACGAGAACACAAAGTGCTGGTCAGGTGTTACGATGCGTCTGCAGAAGCCAGAAAGCTGCAGCCCAAGGAAAACTGGCCACGGAGGGCATTGATCAGACAGGAGGGATGTGCCTCAGCAGCCTGAAGTGGGCGATAAGAGATGAGGAGGGTTAGATTTTCATCCCGCCTTTTTGAAATATATTTATTTTGTGTGTGTGTGCGTGTATATCTATCTATCTATCTATCTATCTATCTATCTATCTATCTATCTATCTATCAATCAACCTGATACTGTTGCCTCTTATTTCCCACTACAACAACCCTCTGAGGAGGGATGGGCTGAGAGAGAGAGAGACTGGCCCAAAGTCACCCAGCCAGCTTTCAGGCCTAAGGCAGGACTAGAACTCACCATCGCCTGGTTTCTACACCAAACTGGCTCAATAAGATGGCCCAATCCCAGGCATGTTACACTAAGTGTATTGGTTGATGATCAGTGTATCATCAACCAAAGTACAGGCATACCTCGTTTTATTGCACTTCACTTTATTGTGCTTTGCAGATGTGTTTTTGGGGTTTTTTTTTACAAATTGAAGGTTTGTGACAACCCTGTATCAATTAAGTCTATCAGGTGATGATTAGCATTTTTTTAGCAATGAAGTATTTTTTAATAAAGGTATGTACATTTTTTTAGACATAATGCTATTGCACACATAATAGACTACAGTATAGTGTAAACATAACTTTTATATGCACTGGGAAACCAAAAAATTCATGTGACTTGCTTTACTGCAATACTTGGCTTATTGTGACGGTCTGGAACCGAACCCGCAATATCTCCAAGGTATGGCTGTATTCAGTAAAGTGTCCTAGATCAAGTTCACTAGAAGAATTGTGTCAGGAGAAGCGTGAAAACACTGTTTCAAAATTTGAGATCTAAATAAAACCTTAAGCTGTGTTTATGGTGGACTCAGGATGAGGCAAAGGCAACATCATTAGGATGTGTCCTTTTGAAATGGATTGTGGGTCATCCTTGTGCCACAGTATCAAGCTCATAGTGACCCACTTCAACAGAAAACAAGATTCTCTCAGTTTGAGTGGCAGAAGTCTCAGCAACTGGACTGCTGTCATTTGAGAATCCCAGGTTATCTCCCAAGTTGCTAAGGAGAAGACAGAGGCATCTGCAAAATTGGAGGCTTTCCTCACAATGAGAAAAACAACATTGCCCCACTGTGAGACAAGCTCTGCCTGTTTAATGCATGTGTGCAACATCATGATGCACATACATAAAGGGTAGAGCCTGCATCATGATGGCATGATACTGCTTTCATCATTTGATACTCCCCGGACACTTTTGGACAATGGCATCCACGGAGTGGGTCAAGACAGGGCAACTGCACAATCAAAGCTCTGCCCCTTTGTACATGTGCAACATGGTGCCACACATACAAAAGGAACAAGGGTTTGATTGCACACTTGCAACCATAATCTGGACTCTTTTGACCTCACCCATTCCATGGTTGCCACTGGTGTCAGGCAACGTTATAGTCCCTGCAAATAAAAAGGTCGCAGGAGTACCACGTTCTTGTAAGCCCAGTTTCCACTATTGATTGATTATGTGGCATCATGTTGGTATCAACTCTTAGCAACCACATACTGTAGATAAATTTTATCCATGGTCTTTCAGGTCTTCCAACAGTGCACTCATCACCACTGTAACTGAGTCCAACCATCTTGCTGCTTTTCATCTTCTTCTCTTTCCTTCCATCTGTCTCAGCATTAGAGCCTTCCCCAGAGAGCTAGGTCTTCACATAACATGTCCGAAATTTTCCACTACTACAAAGGATGTTCTGATACAATTCAGAATAAGTGCAGGCAAGGGCCAACTGGCCTATTTAGAAGTTTTGCTGGATGTTAGGAAAACAGTTGTTATAAAGGTCGGTGTGGCACTTCTGAATGGAACTCAGCTGATGGCTCCACTCCAGTTGGTCACTGCCTTAGATTACCTTAAATGCAATGTCTGTTACTTAATTCAGGTCAGACATGCATTTGGAGTAATTGAAGATGATGGTTGGAGTGCTGACTTCCCTCCCATTCATTACTGTAGTCGTTTGCCAGTAAAACCTGCTGGGGGAGTTAGCGGGGATGAGGCCTGGCAGCACTTCTAAAGGGTAGCTAGCATTTGGATCTCCTTCAGCTCATTACCATATTAAATTACTTAGAATGCAGCATCCAGGTTCTATAGCAGAAATTATGGTTGTCAAGGTCCAACACACATTGGGGGGTATCAGGTTTGGGAAGTTGTAAGCTATAAGTTGATATAAGGTATATAATATATTTAATATATATTATTAATTATTATATTATAGGTAGCATCTTCCTTGAAATGTGGTTTTTGTTTCTCCCAAAACTTCATTCCCTAGCCTACCACTTGGATTTACACTTCTTACCAGAAGTTGCAACTGGGAAAGGCAAGAGTGAGCACATCACGGATGCAGGCAGGAGGCATGCAGGTGGACAGAGCAGCTTTTTCAGGTGTAGCAACTTCCTGTGTACTCAGGAGCTAAGTAAACTCTAGTGTGACTCCGGGGTGCGTCATTTCTAGATCTTGCTTGGCATTCCCAGACCGGCACCCCAGAGGGTGGAATTTACAGGAACTTGCCCTGTTGGTTTCATTAGACTGGCATTCTTCCCGGTAATGGAATGTTCTACTTTTAATGAAGGGTGTGAACCTCAGGTCAAGTATAGGGTGGCAGAAAGGCATAATGTTACATTCAGTTTTACCATCTAGGAGGGCTATATATAATTTTTTTATACACACACACACACACACACTGTGTGTGTGTGTGTGTGTAGTGAAATATATAGATATATGGTGAAAAAAGGCAGGATAAAATTGCTACTGTCAGAACATGTAATATAATATGTGTGTGGTGTGTTTGTGTACACATTAGATCCATTGTAACATTAGAGGAGATATTAGCATGGATAATTAGCATGGATAATTAATCATGTAATTAAGATCCTGCAGCAAATACAATAGGGTTGGGCAATCCAGGCATGCAGGCTGCCCCTCCCTGCTTCTTCTTTTTTTTTTTCTTTTTCAGTCCCTGGAACCTTCTACAGCATATCACTGGGCTATGATGCCAAATTACTCGTGCAAGGTGCTGCTGAAAACAATCTACTGCAAACATTGCCCCGGCTTTTTGAAGGCTGAATCTCTGTCTCATCTCTGTCTCTATCATCTATCTATATCCATCCATCCATCCATCTTTATCTCTCTAGCATCTGTCTGTCTGTCTGTCTGTCTGTCTGTCTGTCTGTCTGTCTGTCTGT